GGAGAGTAAAGTGACCCACGTGGGTGCCAATAGACTGAGCAGGTCATTTCACCTGTGTATGGTGTAGGCAGCCCTTGGAAAGAGAGAAAGGCCTTTGAAAAGAGGAAGGCTTTATGGGTAGTGCAGCATATAACCATGACAGTTGGACATCTAGGATCCAATCCTGGCTATCTGATGGCTGGACGTGTGACCTTGAGCTGATTAATGGACACTTCTAGGCCTGTTTCCTTGTCTATAAAATGGAGATAAGAATGATATCTACCGGGCCGGGGATTTAGCTTAATGGTTCCGCCGCCTGCCTCGCAAGTGCAAGGACCGGAGTTCGATCCCTGGTACTAAAAAAGAAAAAAAGAAAAAAGAATGATATCTACCCCTGGGGATGTTGTGTGGATTAAATGAGAGTATGTATGTTAATGGCCTGGCTTTTTTGCTTCATATATAACATGATCTATATTCGTTTCCCACACTGTCAGAAAAAAATTACCACAAAACTCTTAACACAAAACTGTTCTCTCACTATTCTGAAGGTCAGAGTTCAAAATCAAGGCATCTGCAGAGCTCTGCTCTTCTAGAGCAATAGAGGAGAATTTGCTATCTGTCTTTTCCAATTTCAAGCGGTTGCAGGTATTCCTTGGCTCAGAGCTACATCACCCCAGCCTGTCCCCATCTTTACAAATGCTCTACCTGTGCCTGCGACTGTCTTCTGTCTCTTATGAGGGCACTTGCATTGATTGAGGGCCTACCTGGTGATCCAGAAGATGCGTAACTTAATTACATAAGCACATAGTCCTTTTCTCCAAATAGGTCACCATCACGTTTGGGGATATGGACATATCTTTCGTGGGCTTGCCGTTCAACCTTTGAGAATACTTAAAATCTTGAGTGCTTTCCATAAGCCAGTATTTTACATATGTGCATTACTTGATCATTTGATTAAGCTACCTGTTGGGGAAAAAAATTCTGGTTTTCTGGGGCCTGGTCCCATTTTCTTAAATGGTGATGGAGTATCACAGCCATGCTTAGTGACCGAAGGAAGTGGGCAGTCACATGCAATCCATAGATTGTCTGCATTCCCTCCTTGGCTCTCTCCCTACCTCCTGACTTAGGAGGCAATGCATTTTCCTTTTTCTGCAAAATGTCATTGCTGGGCACTGATGCACTCTCCTAATCCTCCCTCCTCTCACCCCCAAGGAAGAGTTTGTCATCCCAGCTGAAGAATCGTCGTGAAATATCCTTCAGCTGTTAGCCCTTCTGGATCAGCCTCAGCACAGGAAGTGCTCAGGCCCAAGATCACACCCACCCCAAGAAGGGCCACACCCGATCACTGATGAGCAAAGGTCTGAGCATTTCAGCCTACTATGGAATACATAGCGCAGGCCATTTTACTTTGCGTTCCCTTGGGGAATCCTGCTTCTTCCTCCTGCCTTTCATGGCTATGGTCCCCAAGAGCACCTAGTAATCATCTTGCATACTAAACTCAAAATCAGAGTCTGACACCCAGACACTCCAACCTGCACCAGTAGCTGAGGATCATGTCCTTGGGGTCATGGATTATATATCAAGTAGAAATTTTACTTTGACTAAGTTTGTATTCATCTATAATGATGTTGTTTTTCATAGGTGGCAAAAAGCTCTGTTGGCTTCAAGTTTTTAATCATATCTTAAATATTTTGGATATTTCCCTATGGCTTTGAAGTTTTTCATTTTCTTACAACTTGGGACATACAACACAGATCTAAGGCAATTCTAAAACTCTAAAATATTCTGTTGGTACTTGAAAACTAGAGCACCAGTTTGGTAGTGACTAAAAACTGGATTGGTTGAAAGCAATAGTTTGAAGCTCCATATCTAATTCATAATTGTCTTACATTCATCAGATATTAGTACCATCTGCAAGAAAGAAGCTCAAAAAGAATATAAATAAATATAAAAAGAATATAAGCCAAGGGGGGCTACTGTACTGGTTGAGAAAATAAACTTTTGGAATAAAGCAGATCTGGATTTCAGTCTTGTCTCTACTACACGCTGTCACTGAACTCTGTGCCTCAGTTTCTCCATTCGTTAAATAGGAATAATTGTGTCTGTCAACTTCCTGTATTGTGACAAACACCTGAGATAATCAACTTCTAGAGAAAAGTGGGGTTTTGGGGCTCACAGTTTAGGAGGGTTCAGCCCATGACCAGTTGGCCCTCTTGTTTTGGGCCTGTGGAAAGGCAGCACATAATGGCTGGGAGCATGTGGTGGAACAAAGTCACTCTGTTCATGGCCAAAATGCAAGAACGAGAAAGAGGAGATGCTGGGGTCCTACCCTACTACCCAAGAGCATTCCCTAGGGACCCGAAGACCTCCCACTAAGCCCCATTTTTTAGAGATTACCTCAACCTCCCAATAGCACAAAGCCGGGGACCAAGTTTTAACACACAGGCCTTTGGGGGACATCCCATATCCAAATTGTAGAAATAATAACCACACTTACCCTATAGAGCTTTCGTGAAGATTAGAAAGCTTTATTTCTCTAAAGCACTTATAATAGGAAACACAATAAATGTTCATTTTTAGTTGCTACTACCTGAGGCCAAGCATGTTAACACACCCACTAATCATTACACACTAAACACATTTTGGATCATTTAACTCATTGCTTACAGAAAATTAGTAAAATTTTGTTGAAATTTTAGGGAAGGATCCCAGATACTCTTTTCCTTATTAGAGAGAAGACTATTAAGTTTCTACTTTTGAAGATGACATCTGAGTGAAGATCTTAGTAGGCCTTAAATCATGTGGCTCCTTGGGAAGCAGCATTTCAAGCAGAGGAAACAGATAGTGCAAATGCTATGAGTGCAGCTGAATTGTTCGAGGACCAGCCAAGAAGTCTGTGTGGCTGGAGGGGAATAAGCCAGGTAGTTGAAGTCAGAGATACAAGGGGTTAGTGGAAAGTTTCATAGGACCCGGTAAGTCATTGTAAAGATTCTGGATTTTGCTAAGTGGTTTGGGAAGTTGTTGGGGCCTGAGCCAAGGAGCGTCTTGGCCCAACTTCTGTATTAAAAGGATGCCCTTCATTACTGTGCTAAGAGTGGAGAGGGAGAGGGTTAGGCAGAAAAAGCAGGAGACCATGTGTGGTGGATTAACTAATAATGGTCAAGTTGGAACTCCCAGCAGAACCAATATGAACCAGCGTGGTTCTGGGTATGGAAGACCCACCTGAGGACTGTTGCCAATAGCATAAAAAGAGAACTGGAGGGGAAGATGGTATGTTGTTGATTTTTCTGGGGAGGCTTGCTGCGGCTGGTTTCCTGTTGTGAACTTGGCTGTTGTCATCAGAGGAGCTCGGGTCCTCACTGTCACTGGGAATGGCTGCTGTTCTCATCAGGGGAGCTTTGCTCTTCACCTTGAGTATTGCTTCCTGGCTCCAATGCAGGTCCCTCAGCCTGGTGGCACAGATCCATCACTCTGCTGGGACAGACTTTCTAGCTTCCACCACTGGCTTTTGGACTTTCCCAGTGCAGATCCTCAATAAAGACTTGCATGAGACTTTGCCATGGGCTCTGGGCCACTGGCTGGACTCAGGGAGGACATTCCCTTGGACTTTGGGCCTTTAGCTGGACTTCTGTGGAACACTGCCATGGGATCCAGGCCCTCGGCAGGATTCTTCAGGTCTCTAGTGTGTGGACAAGTCTCTTGCACTCCTCTGCATGTGACATTTTGGGTGAATATTATAAAATAATCCTATAAATTATGTATCCTGCATTAAATCTATTCCCTTGCAAACCCTGACAACACCATGGTCAGGAGGCCACCGAGGAACCCCAGACTGACAGCTATGGACAAGGAGTTGGTCAGTTCCTGCTGTATTTTTAATCCTGAACTGGAAAGATTTGAATCTTCTAAGCGACAGGGGAAAGCAATTCTTTTAATTGAGATGGCAGAGGGGCTGCGCTAGGAAGGAAGGAGACATTTGTGCCAGGACCTGTTAAGTATGAGAAAGGTCTAAAGCATCCAAATGAAAATGTTGAAGTGGCCATGAGATAGAAAATACAAGAGTTTGGAGTGATTGGTCTGGGCTAGAAACAGACATGTGGGAGTCATTAACCTATAATCAATGTTTAAAACTATGAGACTGGATGAAATCACTGAAGCAGGGGAAAGAAAAGTAGGAGATGAAGGGCCAGAACCTGGAGACACTTTAGTGCTCATGGTTTAGTGTTTAGTGTTCAGAGGAGAAGGAGCTAATGAAAGACAAGGAAAACCGGGACTCTGGGAACAAGGTGAAGGCACAGGAACGGGGCTTTGATGGTTGAAAAGGAGTTTGTAAGGCCAGTGATCCTCAACATGCAGTCCTAGACCCACAGCAACTGGAAACTGTTTAGGAATTTGCAAAATGATGGGCCCCATCCTAGATCTACTGGATCAGGAACTCAGAGGAGGGGCCTTCCAGCGGATTCTGATGCACCCCCAACTCTGAGAACCATTGCCATAGTTGTAAAACTGCCTGCACAGAATTATAAAGATTAAGAAAACAAAACTTCCTTACTGGAAAGAATATTGTTGGAGACCCACTTAATGCTCAAAGCAAATAGATTCCTCAGAAGTACCTGCCCCCACATCTCAGTTCAGAACGTTCTACTGACCAATCTAGCATGGCTCTGTGAAGAGGAGGAATGCCCGCATTTTGTTGGGCAGAGGGAATGCTGAGCCCCAGGCATGCCAGACATTCCACTGGCTAAAAAAAAGGGCATGTGTGTGATATTCCAGGGTTAGCAGTACCGGGCCATTAATGCTGAAACGTCGGAGATACCCAGCTTAGTCCACCCCACCGGTTCTAAAGTTTCCTTAGGCTCTCCTAAGAGAATTCCACCGTCTTCCAATTTGGGGAGATGAAGTTAAAATTAGGGCCAGCCCTGCGGGACTGACATGCCAGATGCGGAGAGGCTGGCCCCTGAAATAAACTGGTTCCCACCGCGGATGGGCGGGGCAGGCGGCTCTGTCCCGTCCCGTCCCAGCCCAGCCCAGCCCAGCCCAGCCGAGGGAGTCCTGGAAAGCCTGCCCCTTCCATGTGTCTGCAAGGGGTCTGCTTCCAAGCTCTAAAACCCTGGGCGAAGGCGCTGCGTGCCCGACCTCTGCTCTTCCCGGGGGTGGCTGCCCTTTCCAAAGTGTGCAGCTGTCTCCTCCCCTCCAGCGCCGCCGTTGCCCGGGACCAGGGCTGCACCCCGCACCTCCGCTTGCCCCTCCGCCCGCTCTGCAAAGTTGGGCAGCTCCGGGAGCTCGCTTTGCCTTTGCGCTTCTCCCGGCCCCACCCGCAGCGCCCCTCCTCCCACGCTCCCTTCCACCAGGGGCAGCGGGTCCCCGCGGGCTGGTAGCCCGCACCCCTTGCCAGTCCTCCGCCCTCAGGCGCGACCATGCTGCTAAGGAGCGTCCTGCTGGTGGCGCACGGTAAGGGCCGCAGCTGGGGGACACCCGGGGGGCGCTCTAGCGACTCGCTCCTGCTGCCCGGGTGCGGGGCTGGCGGGCAGAGCCAGGCCACGTGGGTGCCTCCTCCTAGTCCTACTCCGCAGCCTCTCCCCTCCCGCCCGGGCCAAGGCTGGGGTGCGGGTGCGCACGGGGTCACGCGGCGGAGGCCCGGGGCGCTGGGGGAAGCAAGACACCCTTCCTGCGTGGCCTCCCGCACTTTTAGCAGGTGGCTGGGGAGAGGGGGGCTGTTGTTAACGCTCCGAACTGAAAGTCGCTTTGTGCCTGCAGCCCTGCAGCTCTCGGGTGCCCTTGACCTGCCTTTCGGCTCCTGTGCCTTTGAAGAGGGCACTTGTGGCTTCGACTCGGTGCTTGCGTTTCGGCCGTGGATTTTAAATGAGGAAGGTAAGGGGCCCCACGAAGAAAGGCCCAGGTGAACTTCTTTCCTTGTTGGTTGCCTCCCCCACCCTGCCCCTTTGCCCCTCAGCACGTGGACAGTGTTACCTTGGAGTTAATTCCTCTCTGAGGAAAAGTGAGTGAGGCACGGTCCCCCTTCAACCCACGGCTGCGCTGCGGGGTGGCCCAGGCAGAGAAGGGGCAGGCGGCCTTTGTGTATCTGGCCACGGGTGGGAGCTCGGAGCAGCTCCACCTCCCCGCACTCTGGTGGGAGGGAGAAAGGCCACTTGGCAGCCCTGTGCCCCCTGCAGGCCGTCAGCCCCGCTGGTCCTTAGACACCTGTGTGAGCAGGAAGTCTGGCCGGTACTCCTTATCCAGCTTGGCAGAAAGAGTCCCCCCTTCTGTTATTGGACCTCAGTACTCCGACCTGCCCCTTGCCCTCGGTGCAGGACACTAGTTTTGCTGCCTGGTTTCATCCTTCTCCTCGCCCTCCTCTGTACATCCAACTCTGGACAAAAGAGGAAACTCCATCTCATCTCGGCTGTCTGAACTTGCGCAGTCTGAGGGCATTAGTCATTGCCTTACTACCCAGTGTTTGGGTTCAGTGGCAGAATTTAAACGTAGAGGATTCGGGTTACTTCTCATCCTTCATTTTTGTTTTGTTTTGTTTTGTTTTTGGGTACTGGGGATTGAACTTGGGACATTGTGCTTGCAAGGCAAGCGATGGCCCCACTGAGGTAAATACCCAGTCTCACTCTTCATTTTCATGGGGGAAAAAAATTGATTCCTGTTACCCAACTGCACCTCTCCATTCCTTTCTCCCTTGCTTCACCACCATTTAGGAGCCCAATGTGTGATGAAGAACCTTTTAGAATTTGTAATGATACTAACAGCCCACACAGCAGGTGTGCTATAGGTTTGCCACCACTAGGCCATTTGGACTGCAAAGCAGTCTCTGTTAAGAAACAGCACTGTATGTGAATGCTACTAAGTTCCTGCCTCAATCAGTTGTCCCCACCCAATCCAGTTTAGCTCCCTGGTGAAGAATAGAGCCCAGAGTGCCTGGTGAAGACGTCCAAACTGTCACCACAGTTCAATTTGCCCAGACTTCCTTTTAGCCTCTCTGACCCTCATGGGTAGGTGACATTAGTATCATTTTGCAGAAGTGAGAAGCTGAGTCTACAAGTACTCAAATGGCTGGTCTGTGTCACATGGTGTCAATGAGTAGCCAGCCCTGGGCTGTTTATTGGAAGAAACAGGAAGGAACTAATTCAGTAGTTATCTTTATCTCCAACACTTGCCACCACTTTACTACAGTTTAGTTGGAGGTATCTGAGAAAAAAACAATTCTTGATTTATTATCAGAGAGATTCCTGCCTGACTCATAGCTTTAGAAAAGGGCCTTTTACTTCACCACCCCAGCCCCTTCCCTGTTGTGTGCAAAGCATTTTGAGAGGCGGCCTTATATATAACATGGGACTGGCTTTGGAATGTGTTTTTCTCTAGCAGAGCTTCTCAAACTTCAACTGCAATAGAATAATCTGGTGGGCATGTTAGTCTTTGAGTTTCTCATTTGATGAGTGTGAAGTAGGCCTGAGTATTTCCTGCAAGTTACCAGGTGATGCTGCTGCTGCTGCTGCTGCTGTTGGTCAAGAGACTACACTTTAAGGATTCTAGACTCCCATAATATGGGTTTACACACACACACACATCTGTGCTGTGGGCCCGAAGCAGGGCCAGGACTAAAGAACCATTTGTATGATCCTGAGAGTCAATCACTCATTAAATCATGTGTCCTAGGCTCCTGGCACACCTCACTCTGGTGTGGCCCTGAAAAAAAAAAAAAGCACCACTCCTGAGATCAAGCACCTGAATCCCAGAGCCCCACTCCCGCAGCACTCTGTCAGGGTACCCCCTTCCAGCCTGCCTCTGGGTCAGTGGGCATGCCAGAGCCTGCTGAGCGCCAGATCCTGCCAGGCCCGCAGGAAGTGCTCCACTGAACTGGACCTCTTCAGCAGTGTGGCCGTGAAACACCCCTTAGGGAAAACAGGAAGATGCTTATAGGAAAAGGAGATTACAGTTTAACAGTATAATGGAGGCACTGTGGCTTTCCCTTCTGCGTTCTTTTAAGCAGCCACTGCTTTCTGGCTTAGGACTGGGACCACTGGCTTGGCTGGGGGAAATTCATTCATTCTATGAGTGCTCTAGGGTGGAGCAGGCAGGTTAGGCTTCAGTTGTTACAGATCTAATTTTCCAAAGGCCAGGACTTAGGCATAACAGTCCACTGTGGACTCGGGGGCAGAGAGATAAATTTGTGCCAATTGCTGTGGCTGCTGACTGAGAAGCCATCAGTAAGAATTTCCCATATTAACCCATTTCTTGGCTGGTAAATTAAAGATAATAAGATTGTCCTAGGCTGAAATTTGCCGAGCTGTTCACAAGCCTCTATGCAAAATTACTTCATCTTGCTGCAAAATCCCTTTGACACAGGTTCTGTCCACCTACGTGTACTGAATCTACCATAGACAGTTGCTCATTTCAGAGTCTTTTATCCACAAGTAGTTGGAAAGCAAATGGCACTTCCAAAATGTCCTTGGTCAATAGGATAATATACTGTGGAGAGAGCAAAGCTAGAGCCCAGTGAAGGAAGGTAAGTCTGGAAACTAATTTGCAAGTTAGGGTTTTTATCACAGGAGGATCAAATCTTGGGGTAGTTGGAGTAGTTCCTGTGTCTCAGATATCTCCCCTGCTTCCTGAAATTGTATTTGAGGTCCATCCCTTTGATTTTTCTAGAGTAACAGGTCTCTAAGCATCTCTGATTCAGTCCCAGTGTCCCCTAGTTCATAGCTATTTTGCAATATGCTCTTTCTCCCTGGGGCACAGAATAGGTGACTTCTGACCAAAGCGGCCTGTTGGCTTGGGTTGTGCACCACAATGGAGGGTGCCCTCAGGGAAAGGTAGCTGCGCTGGGGGAGGTAACCAACTACTGCAATCCAATCTTGCCTTCTTTCTAGTTTTGCCAATGGTTACTATATGTTCTTGGTTCCCTCTATGCTTTGTGTAGGATAATGAATTCCTAACTTGTCAAAGAAGGCAAGATTATGTATGTCAGACTCAAATTTAAACTCAGTTCTAAATCTTAGGTTAGAATTAAATCCAAGAAATAAGGGATCCATTTTATCTTATACAAATCTTGTTTATTCATTCATTTGCATTTAATAAAAATCATCTTTATCTTATTCACAGTTCAGAGAGTATTGGAACTCTTTTGAGCAATGGTTCCTGAACTAAAATTGAAACTGTTTATTCTATTTTCTTCATACTGGCTGCAGGGGCAGGAACACTGGCTGAGGATTATTAGCATTAATCTTATAATTCAAATTAGTCATTGAGTGGATTTTGGCTTCTCTCTCATTCTTGGACATTATTGCTTAGTACCTGTAATTTTAGCACTATAAGGAAGCCATTGGAGGAAATGAGGAAGGGAAGCAGGTAAAAATAAAGCCAGGTACAGCTCTTTAATTAGCAGTCCAGAGCCAAGTATGGTGTTATCCCAGCACTCTGGGAGGCGAAGGCAGGAGGATTGAAAGTTTGTGCCTAGGATGGGCAACTTAGTGACTTAGCATGAGCCTGTCTCAAAATAAAAAATGGTGGGAATGTGGCTCATTGTATAGGTCCTGGATTCAGTCCTTAATACCAATATATTTTCTAGAGAAAAAAAAAGTTCAAAGCACTGAGTTATCTGGCTGGAAAAGGTAAATATGGAAATGGGTCAGGTAAAAGGGAGGTTAAGAAAATTTCATGCCAGGTGTGGTGGCACACACCTGTAATCCCAGCACTTGGGAGGCTGAAGCAGGAGGATTCCTTCAAGTTTGAACCCAGCCTGGACTACATAGTGAGTTCAAGGCCAGCCTAAACTACATAGCGAGACCCTGTCTCCAAAAAAAAAAAAAACTTCAAAGCACTTGTTGTAGGGAAGACCTCCTTTTTTATACAATAGGAGTCAGGGATGGTGAAACTGTCTCAAACAGGAAACATTTGGGACAGTTTCTTGCTGAGAGCCAGAGATAGTATTCGAGGTAGGAAGACAGTCATGGAGTCTTATGGTCCCAAGGGGCAGGCCAGGGGACATGGTTGAGGGTGCCAGTAATCTCATTCTAGTACACAGGTGTGTCCCTTTCCCTCCCCCAAACTTGTCCCTTCTCTGTTACAGACACTTAAGTGTCCTCAAACCTCAGATGGTGGCTCAGTCATCTGGTTTTCAGTTCTGTGCACTCAGTCACGGGCCAGTTATTATTAACAGTGATAAATCCGGCCGATATTTCCTGAGGTCCAGCTGGAGCCAAACACTGGCTGGGAGCCCGAGGGACCTTCCTGGGAGAGCAGGGCAGTGCTCCCCTTCCTGCAGATGATGGCCCTTTTTCTGACTCTGGAGGGCTGCTTCAGCATCCCGCCCTGACATCGTAAGATTCGTAAGACAGTTCCTGTCTCCCTTACCAGGACCTACAAGATTATCGTCTCGGAGCTCTCCAAACAGAAGAATAGCCCCATTACATAGAGGCTGGAAGCCAGCACAAGTCTGGAATGTTCCTTGGATGCCTCTCAGAGCGATGACTGACCCCAGAAATTTGGCCACATCATTCCTAAAGTATGATGTGCTGTTCCTTGGTTCTGTCCTGATGTTACTGGTATGAGGTTGAACGTCGCTGTAGCACGGTGTACTTGACAGTGATCGTGGGTCTGCCCTGGCTCTACCTAGGAGCTCTGATCCTAGTGCTGGGCCCTCAAGGTCACCCAGCACGAGTGCCTCCTTTCACAGAGAACTATGTGAAGGCCCAGACAGCTGCCAGTCATGGTCATGGACCAAGGGACTGGCAGCCCCGGGGTGGGGCCTCCCCCTCAACTCCACTAGTTCTTTCCTCTGCATTGCTGCTGACATTCCTGACTTTGAAGAGTCTGGACTTCTGCACCCTCACTATATTGGAAACTCTGCATCAGAGATCTAATTA